ACGGAAAACATGAAATTTTGGCATAATCTTGAACCTAAGTGTTTGATATTCAAATTTCGCTTTCTGGCTCAAAACTACTCGAATTTCCTCACTAATGTTGTTACGACTGAATCGACTTTTCAATTCTCTATCCAACGATGCCAAAACGGATTATGTGGCTCGAATGGTTCTTGAGAAACTTCGAATAAAGGCCACTTAGTTATCTCTGGAATGATGTAAAAACGAGCGTTCTTTCTCATTTTGCTTCCGAGAAACATGCAAAACGGGACGGAAAACATGAAATTTTGCAATAATCTTGTTAAAGCTGGATCCGCCCCTGGTGAGTTCAACTATAGGCATTCAAAGACACAAAAACCAATTGATTTTCCAGTGCCGCCCTCGCAAAACATTTGCCATTTCGCGTCGTTAAGCCGCAGTCGACAGACCCAGACGTTTCTCTAGCACACATGCCGAGCATCTTCAGAGCCAAAACCCTGATTGGCATCCGCTAACTAAAACTGGTTTGTCCATTCGGGAACGCAGCTGACACCGTGCGTCTCTCTCGCACCTATGGGAGCCTGCCGACAGGCACAATAACAGCCGCGTTGCTACGTTCGCACTTGATACCTTTGCCGCTTCAAAAATATCTGTATTTTAAAGCTGGATCCGCCCTTGGCAAACAATCCGCTAAATCTTAAGTGATTTTAGACTTAAATACTGCCGGGACTCCCTGTAGGTAGACAGTTTATTCGGCTCTAACCGGCCTTCGTTAACATCATCGCAAATAATTCTTAAACTACAACATTGATGAATAAATCTAACATTATTTTCTAGTGAACGATTCAAAGACTAGACGCGCAGGGAAAGACCGACAAGCAACCCCTCTATCACATGGGCGTGAAGGTAAAAAAGTACAAAACGATTGGTTCAAACAAGCGCAGAGATTCGCAAAAATTGCCCTAAACATTGACGGTGTTGGAAGAGGTGTGAAAGATTGCAACAAACCCAGGCAAAGTCAATTCAACTACCACATTCTACAAGTTCAGCGTGTTCAACAGTTGATAGGCCTTGTTGGTGAGCATTTTGTTGATGTCGTTGGCCCTCTGATTGCCTTTGCACATGGCAATGTACGGCTCGTAATCCTGGATTTCGCTCAGAATATCCGCGTCTTCGTTCGCCGGGTCTTCAGGCAGAAAGATCGCGTCCAATCGGCATGGTTTGTCGCCGTTCAAGCCGAATTCGCCCGATTTTGACTGGCTGAAGCGCTGCGGGAAGATCAGCTGCAATTGGTCCACTGTGTAGCTGGACGCTGCAAAGGTGAGCACATCTGAAACGAGCGGATTGGATGATTAGGGCCAGAGCAAATGCTTATAGGGCACCTCTGAGCATTTTCTTGTGGAAGAAACAGACCCTTTTCAGGTTCTCTTGTTGGGACAGTCGCAAGATTCGCCGCTGGATGGTGGCCACCAGGAACTTCCACTCTTCGGCTTTGGCGAATCGGTCCTGAAAATTCAATGTTTTGCGTTCTTTCAGAACATTCCGCAACATTGCTGTCGGTTTCCGGTGTGCATGTTTCCCTATTTTGTCCATAATTGCCGATCATATTCGCCACTTTATGTGATGTCTTACTTCATTTTCATCACAGTCCAGAAAATTTAGCAGCAAGGGTATCAAGTTGGAACGTATCAATGCGCTGCCTATTTGCATCTCTCTTAGAATCCCAGGCGTGCGAGTGAGATGAGCGATGCCAGGTACGTTCCCGGATGGGAAACGGAGTTTTATTCAATTGATTCGGACACAATTGTTCGCATTTGAAGCAGGCACACCCTTTGAAGAGCCGTCAGTCCGCCGATCTTGAACTATCGGGATGATTTTGCTGCCATCATCAACAAACGGCAGAAGAAGATTGTCGCATTATTAGGAAACACCCTGTATAAAGGCGCCGCGTATATTAAGCCCGTGATCAAGAGAATACAAGGGCGAATCGGACGAATTCGGGATGATTCAAACGATAATTTGCGGTATTAAGTGAGGTTCAATGGATTTGTTCAAGTCTTAAGGGGTTTTAAGGAACATT